CAGCTAACACCGCATCCCTTTCTGGAAAATTATTTCTGCAGTGAGGTCCTCTCCTTCCCAGAGACGTGGGACGCTATTTCAGTTTATGCCACAAGCATAAAGGGCCACCAGATGATCGCCCCTGGCTTTTCTGCTAACTGGGACAACTGTCCGGGGTGGCTGCAAAAGGCAGCTCCCAGCCCTGAGGCTGGAGACCCAGCAGTCATTTGCTGAGCTATATATATAACTTGTTAGGAACAAGAAGGTCTTTTCAATTTCGGCTCTGCCCAGAGGGGCAGGAAGGAAAAGAACTTTCTTCCTTAGGAGGAGGTGGGGGGAAAAAAAGAGGCAGATCCATGATGCTCCTTTGTGAGCTGCCCAGAATCTGCCCTTCCCTCTGGGAAGGGAGCTGAGGGACTTCCGACCCTGACCCCAGTCCATTACATTCCAGGCCCCACCCCCTCTCAGGGTGAGACCATCCATCCTCAGTGGCCCCAGGAGCTGAGTTATGGGTTTATTTTCTGTCCAGGGATCTGAGCTGAGGTTGACATTTAGTACCCGCTTAATTTCATTGCACTGACCCTCATATGTATCAAGAGCATACTGGCATCCTGATTGCTGTGATCACAACGCTCTTATGAACAATAGCAATAAGTGGCAGTTAGAAAGTAATTTCCAGTTTTCTAAGCATTATAAGCACTCTTTATACCCACAGAGGCAGGTTAGTTTCATTTTCTGTTTGCAGATAAAGTGACTGACACCCCGGGGTCTCACTGGAACTGCTGGCACTGATGTTGTCTCTTTGAAACAGTGATGATCATTGTTGCTTATTATCACTTTCACTGTTATGTTCCCTTCCATGTGCAAGAGGCCAAACAGAACACTTGCTTAAAGACAGCTTTTGGCTACTGGGTTTCTGTTTGGGTGGTACTACCTGGGCAAAGGAGGGCTGAATGTGGAGAACCAAAGAAGTGGGGTGAACACTGAGCAGACCCTTGACTTCTTGGACGAGCAAGAGTTTCCTTCGGTGGAGGTGGGGCTCTGCAGAGTTGGAGGGCAAATGTGTTGGGAGGGCGGGTATGTTGGCAGTGCTGTTAAGAAGACAACTGGGGAGTCCCCATCAACCAGCCAAACAGCACATTCGTGGGTACCTGCCATACAGAAAAGAAACGGTGTGCCTCTGTGAGGTCACAAAGACCTTTAAGTCTTTGCCTCCAAAGAGCTTGTGGTGCACTGTCATTGGGGCATATATAGCATGTACAGATAAAAAATTAATGACTCACAGAAGTCCTAGAGAATATCCTAGCTTAGTTGTGCAGGGCTTCCCTTTGGAGCTATGAGAAGGGAAGGGGTTGGCAGGGCTGGAAGGAGACGGGAGGAAGGGACCAGCTGGGACTCCTGGTGGCCTGGGCTGGACCTTAACATCTGCATAACATGGGGCTTTTGCCCCCAGTTCATGTCCAGGCTATAAATATCCTGCTGGGGTCAGAGTGCCTGGGTGATGTTTTGTACCTTCCAGATGCCTGTGTTGTGGCCTCAGGAAGTCAGAGGGAAGTCACCTGGGGCAGGTGAACTTTCTACCTTCCAACCCTCCTCCCTACAAGGTTCTGTTCCCCAGGTCCTCGAAGGTGTGGGTGCAGTTCCAGGCCCATCACCCCCACTTCCAGTCAGTCCTGGCAACTCTGCTCCTGACTTTCCCCTTCTTCCCTGCTCCCCCCACCGCCTCCACCCCCAACACCACTGACACAGTCCAGGCCTCATCACACCTGGTCTGAAGGGCTTTCCTTTTAAAAATAAACAAAATGATTTCTATAGGAAATAAATGCACATGGAAAGGAATGCACATGCATAAATCTGACAAAAACATTTACAGTAAAAGTAAGCCTCCCTTGCACGCCTGGTCCCCAGCCTCCCAGGTCCTCCCTCAGAAGCAGCCACTGATCCCCTACCTCCAGTCCACCCCCTTCTCTCCCTACCGGCCCAAGCCTTGTCCAACCACCCTTTTCTGCTTTCCAGAATCTTGCTTTTTAAAGCATAAATTGATCCTGTTTTTCTTTGTCCTTGGATATGTGAAAATGCAAACTCCTTGACCCAAGCTACAAGCCCTTTCCTATCAGGCCCCACAGACTTCTCCAACCTTCTCCTCACCCCCAGCCCCACTCACAAGCTCTGTTCCAGCCAGGCCCAAGCACTTGCAGTGGCCTAAGTCCATGTTTTCATCTGGCACAGTGTATACTTAAAAATAATTTTTAATTTACTTTTTTGAGTAGGTAATACTAATACACACACATATAATATCTTACTTCCCTAAGCACCACTATTCACTAATTTCTTGTAGTTCCTTCCAGATAATTTTTATGCATATTCCTCTCCCTTTTTTTACTCAAATGATAACATGTAATTGACACTTTCTACATCTGTGTTTTAAAAATTTAGTAATAATATCCTAGAAACCTTTCTATAGCAATTCATAAAGAGCTTTCTCATTGTTTTTCATAGCTCTGTGGTAGTCAATTGCGTGGATATACTCTAATCTGGCAAACTTTATTGGACCAGATAGTCAAGGATAGTCAGGACAAGAGAGTCAATATTTGAGGGTTTGTGGGCCATCCAGTCTCTGTGAAAACCACTCCCCTCTCTGCTCTAGTGTAAAGGAAGCCCTGGATGGTGCGTAGACAAAGGGGCCCGGCTGTATTCCATATACCTGTACTTATAGATGCTGATGTTAGAATTTTATATGATGTTCATGTGTTATGAAATAGAATTCTTCTTTTGATTTTTTTCAACCATTAAAAAAATGTAAAACGATTCACAGCTGCAGGCCCTACAAAAGCACGAAGAGGGCCAGTTTAATGAGAGTTCGCTGACCCCTAACTTAGTTAACCAGTTCTCAATTAATGAGCATTTAAATCACTTCTAATCTTTTGCTGCAATTTATAATCATGTACGTATGTCACTTTATATGCATCCAAATACTTCTCCCTGTAGGGTCAGCTCTAAGAAGCAGGGTTGCTGGGTCAGAAGGTGTATGCGTTTATTTTGATGAGGATTGCTAAATTACCCTTTTAGGGGCTGTACTAGCGGACATGCTCACCAGCAATGGATGGGAATGTCATGTCTTCACAGCCAAACTTGGGTTTTTGCCAAGCTAATAGGTTAAAAAAAATAAGAGGCATCTCAGCACACAGCCATTTGTATTTTTTTTTCTGAGTGTTGTCTTTTCATATCCTTTGCCCATATTTTTATAAATCTTTTCTTTAGAGGTTTGTTTATATTTTCATGGTTTAAGGAGATTAGCCCTTTGTCTGCTGAGTTGTGTATATTCTTTGCAGATTTTCACTTGTTTGGTACTTTGCTTATACAGGTTTGCTCGTTTGTTTGGTGTGCACAAGCTCTAATTTTTTTTTAACTTTTATCAGCTGAGTTTATCAGCTTGTTATGTTACAGCCTGTGGTTTTTGAGTCATAATTAGGAATAATTTTCCCACTCTAAGATTATAAAAGAATTCTCCCATGTTTTCTCTTGGTACTTGTGTGGTTCTCTTGTCAACATTCAAATGCTGAATCCATTTGGAATTTATTCTGGTATATGGTGTGAAGTATGGCTTCAACTTAATTTTTTTCTAGATGGCTACCCAGGAATCTCAACATCATTTATTGCAGAGTCACTGGATTTGGAATGCCACATTTATCATATACTAAATGTATTTATAGTCTTCATAAAATATATATATTCATTGGTCTGTCTATTCATGTGCCTTGAAGGATTTTTATTTTGTTTTACAGATTTCCTTTTTTCTTTCTTTGGGCCACTCTGCGTGGCTTGTGGGATCTTAGTTCCCCGACTAGGGATCGATCCTGGGCCCTAGGCAGTGAGAGTACAGAGCCCTAACCACTGGACCCCCAGGGAATTCCCTATGACGTTTTTAATGATCAAAGTGCTATAGTTTGTTTTTATGTTTGTTGATCTTGTCCAGGATTTCTCAACCTCAGCACTATTGACATCTTGGGCCAGATATCCTCCTTTGTTGTGGAGGGCTGTCCTGCACATTGTAAGATATTGAGCAGCATCCCTGGCCTCTGCCCACTAGATACCAGTAGCAGGCGTGTGCACACACACACACACACACACACACACACACACACACACAGAGTGATAAGCAAAAAAAGAAAGAAAGAAAGAAAAAAAAGTTTCCAGATGTTTCTAAGTGTCCACTGGGGGACAAAATCACCTCAGTTGAGAACCACTGGTTTAGCCATTCCTTGTTGCTTTTTTTTTCTTTTCCATAGCTTCCCATTTCTTCTTGTTTATTTCACCACAATGATCCCTCTACTTGGAATGTCCTTCACTTACTCACTTTCCTCTCAGCATTCAGCTCAGGCCCTCAGGAAGACTTCCTGAACCACCCTGCTCCGTCCTGTCCCCACCCAACCCGGTGTGACCCCCATGAGAATTTCCATGAAATTTGTTTGTCTCTTGCCCCTGACCGGGCTGTCAGCTCCTAGAAGAGAGGGGTTTTGTTCCTGCCTTTATCTCCTCTGGCACATAGCCTCTTGCACTGAGCTTGGCACAGGGTAGGTGTTCTATCACTATTGTTGGATGAATGGGTAAGTGGATACTTTTTTACCCACCTCTCACCAACAGCCACAAGTTCAGTCAAAGCAGATGGGTGAAGGATGGGATCTGTTACCCAGAATGCATCCCTGGTGCTGAGAACCGGGGTGGGGAAAGCTTGTGTGTGTCCAGGCACACTAGTCGATGAGATGTGTGCAATTTCCTGTTTAATACCCTGCAGTCCCCAGCTACTAAGATGCACTCAGCTGCTTAGGAACAGGAAAAGGAGAGCTGGGGACAGCTAGCCTTGGTGCTTTCCTGGAAAAGCTGGATAAATAGTGTTGACAACATGAGCCCTGGAGTCTGACAGCTTATGTCAGATTCCTACTCTATTCACTTACCAGGTACTTAAGCTCTTTAAGCCTCAGTTTCTTCATGAGTGAAATGGGGGTAATAATAGTACTTACCTCAGAGGCGAGCAATGCCCCCTTTGGCTGGCTGTTTATAGTCTGATGAGTTCTCCCAGTTCTCTTGCCCTGAGCACCCTGGTGAGAGGAGAGGGACGAAATGATTACTCCGAGGTACAGGCCGGACCATGTGGGAGCGAATGATGGTGTTTGGGGGCCCCTGTCTGACTTTTCTCTAAGGCAAGGAGACCCTAGCACTGATGTGGGCCTCAGGAGCCAGGAAAGAATCAGACACTAGGTAGGAAGTCTCCCCCTCAAAAAGTTGACACCACAAGCATTTACCCAAGATCTTTTTTTTTTTTAACTTTTTATTTTATATTGGAGTATAGTTGATTAACAATGGTGTGATAGTTTCAGGCGTACAGCGAAGCCCAAGATCTTAAATGAAGTGAAATGATTCAGTTCTATGCATAGGAGAAGATAGTGATAAGTAGAACCTATCAAGTTAAATAGATTAAACGCCAGACACTGTGCTCACTGGTTTACATACAGTTACATAACAAACCCCTACACACCTTCCTCTCTCAGAGCAGGTCTTCATCTGGTGACAGGATGGGGTGGAATTGCTATTCACAGCCCTCCTCCCCCATCATCGAGGCATGGACATATATACACTACCAAACGTAAGGTAGATAGCTAGTGGGAAGCAGCCGCATAGCACAGGGAGACCAGCTCCGTGCTTTGTGACCACCTGGAGGGGTGGGATAGGGAGGGTGGGAGGGAGGGAGACGCAAGAGGGAAGAGATATGGGAACATATGTATATATATAACTGATTCATTTTGTTGTAAAGCAGGAACTAACACACGATTGTAAAGCAATTATACTCCAATAAAGATGTTAAAAAAATTTTCCTTATTTATTCTAGCCCTGTTTATCTCCAACCTAAAAGCTCTCTCCTGGCTGCCACACCCGGCTCTGTGTAGGCTAAGCTGGAGCTAGAAGCACACTGAATGAATCAGATGTGAGTACAGGCTCTAGTCTTGATTTTAGAGGCTTTTAACTCCCAGCCACTCATGACTGTGCTGCATGGCCCTGCCTGCACCCTCACACCTGCTGCCTACAGTACTGTAAAGAGCATGCCTGCTGCTGGCGAAAACAGGAGCTCCAAGAGAGAAAACAGACATTACCCAAAGAACACATGCTTCTCTTTTGCATTTCTTCTGATGCCTGCTCAGAACCCATGAGTGCTGAGAAGATATTGCTGATGGGTTTACCCTGGACTTAGTTGCATTGCTATGGATGTGGCCCATAGAGGCAGTGGGGTACATAGGTCTCCTTTCAGAGGTTCTTCTAAGAGGGGAAATGGTGTGCCCCATTTATTTTGTTTCCACCACAATCTTTGTCCAGGCTGTCTGTCACCTTTTCCCCCAGAATCTACAGCCCTTTCAAGGATCTCTGACCCTAACCTCTACCTGCCTGTGACACTGTGATTTATAATACGAAATATATATTTGGTCTTTGACCTTCCATCTTTACTTAGTGAAACTTTACCTGGTGAATGCATCAAATAGCATGTAAATGTCACTTCCTCAAGAAGACCTGCCCCCAGTTGGTCATTACCAGCTCTCATGGCTCCAAGTACCACCACACATCACAGTTGCAATTTTATATTGTTTGTGTAATAATTAATTAATGTTTTCTCTCCCAGTCCATGAGGGCAAGTGGTTTCTTTTTTTTCTTACCACTTATCCTCAGAGCTTAGCATAATGCCTGACACATAATAGATACCAGGCATTTATTAAGTGAATAGTGAATAACGGGTAGTATAATCTAGTAGATAATGCTAATATTTATGTGCCAGGAAAGTTCTGAGCATGTTAGAAATACTATGATCTTCCTAACAATCTATGGTTTGGGTAGTATTACCCCTACTTTACACACAGGAAAATTCACCCATGATCCCATAACTGGAAGAGGCAGGATTTGAACCCATGGAGCTGGCTCCAGAGTCTGAACCTTTAACCACTATGTTGTTCTAGCCTGTGTTGTTCTCCCATGTTTTAGTTAATCCACAAATTTCATTTGGTTCTAGGTTGTTATTATATCATGCCTTGTACCTCTTACTTGCAATGAATTGTACTCCACTTGACGTGACATTAGATAATTTCCTTGACAAAGTGTTTTATCTGCCAAATAGCACTGTAGTAATATGTGTAGTAATCCTGTGTTTTAGCAAAAATAAATTGTACGTATGAATAAAAATTTGGTAGCAAACCTGTGAATGGACATCACAGTACATGTGTTGAGAACCACTGGTCTACTGGCTGATAACAAATCTTTAGTATACTTATTCATCCCATTCTCTTTTATGGATTATAGATAAAATCTTACTCACCATTCCCCTGAGAAAAATATGTTTTCCTGGACTTGGTGGCATGCTTCATCTTTCTGCTCAGCAAACCTTTGATCCGGAGGAGAAGCAAGGTCTCCTATCCCTAATGTCTCAAATACCCCCTCTCTGACATTCCCAGTGGTCCACCTCAAAGGGCAAGGCCAAGCTTGTATTCAGAGGTTTTGATTTCTTTACAGCTGTGTTCCTGGTTCCTTGGTACTTTGCAAAAATCACCCTCACTCCCTTGCAGGAAAGTACCAGGAACATTAATCCAGGGCTTTCTTGGGTGACCGGCACGTTTTCACTTTTCTAAGATGGAATTGGAAGTGGCCTACCATCCCTGGTAAAATATTTTTTAAAAGACGTATTTTTAGCAAGGTGTATAAGTGTGTATGTGTATATATGTGTATGCATATATATAGTATCTATATTTTATACATGTAAATTAACAGACTAGAGATGGGGATAATCTCTGTCAAGAGTGCTTACCTCCAGAGGCAGAGGTAAGAGTGAAAGAGATGATGAAGGGGAACTTCATCAGATTTTGGGAGGTGGTTTGCTTCTGAACATTTGGATCTTTACAGTAAAACTATATTTACATATCAGATAATTAACTCCTTTCTCCCAAAAGAAGAGAGACAAAGAAAGAATTATTATTAATGCTGAGGAAGGGAGGGAAGTGAGGAGGGGCAATCAATGAAAGGACTCTCATTTTTGACTCTGTATACTTCCGTATTATTTGAACTTATGCATCAGGGACACACGTATTTCTTGTGCAGCTATTTTTTTTATCATGCAAAGGCTCGTTGATTCACTAAACAGCTAATATGTTTTACTCTTCACTCGATGCTGAACACTGTGTTCTGTACTTGATCTGCTGTAATCCATGCAATATTCCATGAGTGACATACTGTCATCCCATTTTATAAAAGAGGGATTTGGAGCCCAAAGACTGGTTAGGTCATCTGCCCAATGGCCCACCTAGGTAGCAAAGAGCAGGCTGAGAGCCAACCAGCTCTGCCTGATTCGATGTGGGTCATGGTGGTGGGTACCAGCAGGAATGAGGCTTCCCTGCCTTTATGTAAGTGGAACCTAGTCAAGATGGAAAACATGAGAGAAAGGCTAAAGAAATGAACAGACTGAGGAAAATAAACAGAGACATTTAGCAGAAAGAAATGCTCAGAGAAATAACCCTAGTAAACTTGAATGACAACAGAAAGACAGTCAGAGACGGTTTGGTGCCCCCAAACACCCGTAAACATTTTCATTTGACTCTGCACACCCTAGAAGCCTCATGTCACACGGCAGCTCTGTCCAGACGATTCTAAAAATAGCCCGACAGAATCCTGTGGTTGGAAGAGACTGTGAGAGGTAAATGAGTCCATCCCCTGCCTGCAGAAGGGAGTAAGTGTTCTCCTTACAGGAAAACCGAGGCAAGAGTAACTTAAATTACTAGATCAAAGTCACTTCTCCACCCCACCCGCTAAGTCAGCCAAAGAGTTGGAGCTGGGGTCAAGGGCACCGATAGCCTCATGATTCAGCATGTGGAGAATATATTCATACCACAGCTCTTTACAAAGGAAACTTACTGTCCACCCTCTTTTCCAGCTGTAAAACATCTGGCTGGCAGGGGTGGGGGGGTAGGTGTCAGCTGGGAAAATGAAAAGGAGTCACTGTAATGCCCCTTCTCCCAAGGCAGCATCAGGAGGAGGAATGCGGATGGTGTTAGGGGCTTGGGGCTCAGAAGGAGGTGGGCGTCAGTTGTTCTTGCATTGTTGGTGTCATTCTTTATTCCTGTTATCTACCTCGTCAGGATGCGGTTCCATTGGCACACCAGATCAGGCTAAGTGTGCCATGAATGATTAAAGGCCTTGAAAGAGATTAAGGGAATTACATTTGTATGTTCCATATAGCCAAAGGCTGAAGGACAACTGCAGGCAAGCCTCTGAATAGCTTTACACGTGAAAAATAAGAATAACTGAAGATGGTTCCAGGGCTTAGCACTTTAAATCATGAGGATGTGATGCAGAGACAAGTTCTCTGAGGGCAAGTAGCTCCTCAGTCATGGGCATTGAGGACGGTTGATGGTTGTGTAGGATTTGAATGAAGATACAAGTCTGACAACATCGATCTAGGAAGCAATCCATAGGGCCGCCTTTGGGCCACTGTGGTTAACTGGGTCAGGACTAAGGTGAAGCTATCACCTCCAGTGCAAAATTTAAGGGGACACCAAAAAACTCAGTCATGAAGAAAAATAATATTTCAATGCCATATTTTTTTTTTTTTTTGCTGTATGTGGGCCTCTCACTGCCGTGGCCTCTCCCATTGCGGAGCACAGGCTCTGGACGCGCAGGCTCAGCGGCCATGGCTCATGGGCCTAGCCGCTCCACGGCATGTGGGATCCTCCCAGACCGGGGCACGAACCCATGTCCCCTGCATCGGCAGGCGGACTCCCAACCACTGCGCCACCAGGGAAGCCCTAATGCCATATTTTTTAAAAATAAAAATTAATGCAAAAAAATCCAAGATGAACAAAGGCTATTAGGGGCCGTAATATATTGGAGCCTGAGGCAAAAGGAAAAATGTAAGTCCCTGGCTTTAGTGGAAGCAAACTCATGAGAGAATTGTCATGTTTGACAGTTTCTCTTGACTAAGTGACAATCTTAAATAATTTTAAATTAATTAAGCAGAACTAAAATCAGAGTAAATTCTGTTGGGGTATAAATCAAATATTCAAACTTAAAATAATGTGAGTTTTAATGTACCTACTTTCCAAACTTTCAATATTTTTTCAACTACTTTAATGTTCTGGAAAAAAGTAATAATTAACAAGTACATATGGGGGCACACAGCTTTCCTTCTGCTTTGGACTCCAACACGGCCCCCATGGCTTGGGTGGTAAATAAACCACATCCGCTGGTCTCCATTTGGAAACGGGGTGTGTCTGTGTCAAACCTGGGTAATCCTGCTGATTACTACTCCCCTGGGTCTACAAAAAACCCTTTGGCTCTCTGGGGATGCCCTTTAGCATTGGGGATTCAGGAAGTCATCTCGTCCCGTTTCACACCTTTCTATAGGCCACGAGATTATTGGGAACTGGGGAGACATTATCCCACCCTCACTGCTTGATGTGTGGGAGTCTCTGACCTTTGGGGAGGAGTCACCTTGAGTCCAAGGGCACACAGCACATCCTTGATACAGAACATATGGCTAGTACTTCTGTACACCAAACAACTTTAAGAAACACCATTTGGAGGTTCTTGGCCAGAAGAAACTTTCTGAGATAATGAGGTTTTTCTTATTCTTTTGCCTTAAAACATATAATATGCTCACGTGGTTCAAAATTCTAAAAGAAGTAAAAAGGTAAACATTGAGAAGCCTTTCTCCCACCCTTGTTCCACACTCTCCTCCTCGCGTACAAATAGGCAATAACTTTTAGTCATTTACTGGCAATTGCGGCTTCTTTAAAATTAGTATTTGAATAGGTTTTATGAGTTAGACTGGGACCCACCCAGCTCCTTCTGGATGAGACGATCTAGCTGGTGACGAGTACTGAGCAGAGTCACATTTGTCACATATTGTGTATGTGGTTGACACTGGCAACATGGAGCCAGCATCTTTTCAGGTGCCACCGGAGCCCACAGGCATCCAGGCCTCTCTTCCAGACTGGCACAGCATCTAGTGTCAGTGCTACTGGATACCCCAGAGCCAAGCCAATGGGGAACAGGTCTGAGGCCGTCAGCATGGTTGGCATCTTGGTCTAATAATAATAATCCCCAAAGAAAAGGGTATCAGTGTTTCCTAGAAACACATGACGGAGTTTGTAATCTGTCCCCATTGAACCGCAAGCAAGCTTCTGCATACTCAGGATTACACGCATCCTCGCAATTGGAATGACATTCCAAACCACAAACACAGCTCTTTGTTTTTGTGGTCACCATGTACCCTCAAGATATCAGTTGCTCCCAAGGTGACTGATTTCCTCTGTTCTCTTGGTTATGGTTGAGGAGGTCACTGGGAGAGTAGGAGGGAGGAACCCTCTTAGAGCCAGGGTCCCACAAGACCCAGAGTTGGAGGGTAAGTGGAAGCCAGGCTGGAAGAGATCTCAATACCAACTGGGGAGAAATGCTGACTGAACCACCAAGCCACGTTAGCTTTATAATGTGCGGAAGGCGTCTTCTCCTCACGCCTCTTTTGGCCACATCCCTACTCACCACTCTTCTCTAAAAAGTTGTTGCCCACTGAGACACCCTCTAGGGCCTGCTGGCAAACTTTCAATTCCTTCTGGCTTTCAGCTGAGAGGCCCCTCCCAGACTTCTCCACTCATTCCCACCCTTCACAAGGCCTTGGAAACTTTGTTGAAAACTTGGGTGGTGTGTGAACACCCAGGTGCCACAGTAAGTCCTGAGTAGAGTGAGCCCCTCTGCTCTCTCTGAGCCCTCAGTCTAATTCAAATTTAGGAGGACACAGAGACTACAAGGTAAAGAAAAAGCAAGCAGAGTTTGTGGTTCCACCCTCGGGCAGCATTACCTAGCCTAGAGCAGACATGTTTTTTGGTTCAATTCAACTAGTGTTAATTAATGCGTTCAAAAAGTGGTGATCGGGCTTCCCTGGTGGCGCAGTGGTTGAGAGTCCGCCTGCCGATGCAGGGGACGCGGGTTCGTGCCCCGGTCCGGGAAGATCCCACATGCCGCGGAGCGGCTGGGCCCGTGAACCATGGCCTCTGAGCCTGTGCGTCCGGAGCCTGTGCTCCGCAACGGGAGAGGCCACAGCAGTGAGAGGCCCGCGTACCGGAAAAAAAAAAAAAAAAAAAAGTGGTAATTGCTGAGGAGGCAAATTTAAGAGTAAGAACCCTCTGTTGAGGAGGAGGGACAACGAGTGGTAGCCAGTGTTCAAAGAAAAGGAAATGTCTCTGGAAAGACAGGCTGTGAAACCATGACAAGGATCAAATGCCTAAATGCTGAAGGAAATCCACGTGAAGGAAAGAGAAGCTGCAGGGTGCGTTCTGAAGGGAGATTACCAGATGAAGCAAGATCCCAAGCACTGTCCCTATTTTCCTCAGAGCCAGGCAAGCCTCTCCCTTCTTTCGTTTGTGCAATGCCTATTTGCACCTACTTCACTATGGGCACTCAAGAATTGACACAAATAATGTATTTCTCTGCATATTTTTTCTGTCTCCCTGGATATCTCTTCCTCCATTTTTGAGAAGAAACATAAAGAAACAGCTTTTTCTCTGGAAGACTGATCTCATCACCAACAGTCCATTTCCAGAGATATACCATATCTCAGGACATATCTCGTGTGCTATGTCCCAGGAACACTTTAACACATTTTCATAAATAATTGTCACATGAATTCTCAAGGGTTATTGGCTATCCTTCTGTCAGTGAGTGGGGTAAAGAGTAGAGCATTCTCTCATAAAGTTAGACAAAAACAGTATCTGGGTGTTGCTTTGGCTCTCCTGACTGTTGTACTATAACACTTGCTATACTTTTTCTAAAACTCTATGATTTTGAGGTCACATTGATGGAATGCTCCTTTGTACGCTTGCTGCTGTCTGGAAATATTTGTTTTCATCTTATGGATTAAAGAGAGCTCAGAGTTCTATAGTTTAATAAGTTCGACCCAGATAGTGATGAACAGCTCATGCTTCACCCATACCATTCTGATATAATACAGGACATCCAAATATGCCTTTTGAAATTCTGATTAGCTCAGGGCAGGAGAGTTTGAATCACTTACCTTACATTCCACTTGCTGTTAGAGGAGATTTCTCCCAGGTTCACCTCATATACACACACCACCTGGGGGGAAAAGAATCAAGAAATATTTTCCCTCACAGCAAAGTTGAATAAATGTTAACTTCCTTCCTTTGCACGTGAACAGTTAGATATCCCTCATCTTACCAAATGTCAGCTTCTCCCTCCTACGGGACAATCCCCCTCATCTTCCCAAGGTCTTCACTCCGCAAGGAGTGAAGTCCTTCTTTTTCTGCTGCTTTGATACCTCTCTCTCTCCTGAATCATTCCCATTCACAAAGAAAATACACATGAAAAATTCCCATCCTCTCATATCCCCTGGCTACAGCCCCACCTCCCTGTTTCCCATCGTACCCAAATTTCTAGAATACTTCTCTGCCCACTGCCGAAGCCTCTGCCTTCATGGCACCACTGAAATGACCCGTCTCGGGGTCCCCAATGACTGCCCAAGTGCAATGGTTGTGTTTTTGTCCTAATCTTTTCTTTTTTTTTTTTTGCGGTACGCGGGCCTCTCACTGTTGTGGCCTCTCCCGTTGCGGAGCACAGGCTCCGGACGCACAGGCTCAGCGGCCATGGCTCACGGGCCCAGCCGCTCCGCGGCATGTGGGATCTTCCCAGACCGGGGCACGAACCCGTGTGCCTTGCAACAGCAGGCGGACTCTCAACCACTGCGCCACCAGGGAAGCCCTGTCTTAATCTTTTTTGATCTGACCATTCCCTCCTCCTGGACCCTAGCTTGGCTTCCAGGTCAACCTATCTGCTGGTTTCCTTCCTTCCTCCCTCCCCGCCTCCATCTGCTTAGCCTGTTCCATCCAACTTCATATGTTGGTGCAAATGGAGGGTTTTGTCTCAGCCTCTGTCCTCCTCTACCTATGCCCTCCCTGGGTCATCTCATCAGTGCCCAGAGACTGAAATTCCCTCTTTATGCTGTTGACACCCAAATTTCTACCAACTGAGACCTCTCCAGTCCAAGGCTGGCTCACAGAACTACCTGCCATGTGGCTTCTCCTTGGTCAGTGTCTCAAGGATGTCTCACAGCCAACCAATCCAAAACCAGGGCTGATCTGCATTTCTGAGCACTTGAAAATTAAAGGAATTTATTCTTGTCTTCATCCTGGGTGATAATGCCTGCTGCTAAAATCTGTGTGTGTGTGTGTGTGTGTGTGTGTGTGAGAGAGAGAGAGAGAGAGAGAGAAGTGTGGTTGGGTGTGTGACCTAGAGTTCTATCCTCACTCACCATGTGCACAGTATCCTGATAGGCAGCTATGTGTCATTTTCCCTGGGTTTATTTCTATTGGACTATTTAGCCTTTTCCTACTAATTCCATGATATTTTGAATCATGACCTCCATGCCCCAATACCAACAAAAGTCCACTTCCCACATATTTCCTGGAATGTTGGAAAATGTTCTGTAAGCTATGATGATTGCCTTGCTGGGACCACGGGGCCAGGTCATGCCCTTTCAGGGGGACTTGAGAGAGGGTTTCCCTGAAGGAAAGAGATGTTCTCACTGCTATTCTATCACAGAAGAATTAGTTCTGTGCCTTAGAGGTAAGTTAGGGAAACCATAATGTCTCTGGGTTCAAGGCCTGAGGACACTGAAAAGGCTAGTAGTGGGCAGGTTCCTGAGTTACATGAACATAAAACAACATTTGAAAGCTTTTTTGTGTGTCGTCTTACTCACTTGTCCATCTCCCACCGTGGCTGTCCCCTAAGGTCCTAACTCATCAACCATGAAGTTTCCAACAAGGGGGATTCTCTGGTGCAAGACCACATAAGAGGGGCCGTGAAGCTCTGGCCCATAGCTCTCCATCCTGGTATGCTGGAATTACAGTGGGAGCTTTAAAAAGTGCTAGGGGCGGAGACCTTCCCCAGAAACTCTGATTTACATGGCCTGGGTGTGGCCTGGTTTTCAGTTTCCCAGGTGATTCAGATGCACAGCAACGTTTGAGAGCTCAACTCTGGGCCACGCTGGCACCAGCTTCACAAGGTTTTTCTTCACCATAGATGATTTCTAGCAGTAGGATTTCAGCTCCAGAGAGCCTTGGGCTTGCATCTATCACATGGTACCTTCCTGTAATGTTCAGTGTAGATTTCTCTTTCCCAGTAGACTGTGAGTACTTTGAAGACTGGGGCTGTGTCATTGCATCTGCTTCTCTATGTCCAGTATACCATGGCGCTCAATAAATGTTAGCTCAATGCATAGGTGCACGTCCCAAGTAAGGTGAAGTGGATGGTTGCCCCCAGATACCATGCCCTGGCATTCAAGTCCACCTTCAGAGACCCCACACCACCTGCTGCACATTGGGTGTGTACTTTGCATCACAGTACATTCCAGACTCGGTCCCCAGGTTCCCAAGCAGGGCAATCTGTGTAGAATTGCTCTGCTGCTGCCTCCTCCACAGGGCAGGAAACTCACCACAGTAGGTTAGCTCCCTATTTGCTATGGCTGGGGACTGTCAGCCAAGAACGTTTCATCAGCCACTCTAAGCCTGCTCTCCCACTGGCCCAGGAATGTGTTTCCCTGAATGCTGGAAGGTCTGCAACCAAATGGGTGGTTCTGAGAAAGCTCCTAGATGCCGTGGAAGCAAGTGTTCCATGAGGGATGGTTTCTCTTTGGGATGTGTCACTGGTTTGACATTGTCACCTGTCATTCTCTGAGTCTCAGGATGACATCATCTAGCTCAGGTCTCTGGGTGTGGTGGGAGGTGGTGCTGGCATTGTTTGTGTTTGGTTTTAGGCAGCTCCATTCCTTGGGACTGAATCCTTCAGAATGGGGTGTCTTAACCCAGGGCTGATAGATGGGTCTTGGGGAGCAGGGCCCATGACTCCCTGAAATTGTATATGGGGTATTGCATCTGTAGGCTTTAAGCACATTTCTCTAAAGAGAGAGCCCTCTAATTTTCTTCAGATATTTTAAATTGTCCATGAAACTGCAAAAGTTTTGGCCCATGAACTTCCCACTGTCTTCCCCACAGTTTTAACTTTCTGCTGTTCCTAGAAGGCCTTGAGCGGCTAAGTTCTAACATCATTCCGGCCCAAGGTACGGAATGAGGTTATCTGGGTTGGACCAGCCTCTGTGGACACAGAAAGAGACTATGGGTTACTTGGTTTTCTGAGAACGTGAAAGGTAGAGGAGCATATTAGTGGCCATCTGTCACCCTCTATCTTGAACACTGATGAGTGTGTGAGAGAGAGAGACGGTGTGAGAGAGTGTGAGTGTGTGTGAGAGTGTGTACGAGTGTGAGAGTGTGTGTAAGTGTGTGAGTGCATGTGTGTATGAGAGTGTGTGGGTGTGTGAGACTGTATGTGTGTATGAGTGTGTGTATGAGAGTGTATGAAATTGTGCGAGTGTGTGAGAGTGTATGGGTGTGTGAGGGAGTATGTGTGAGTACGTGAGAGTGCATACGTGTGAGAGTGCGTGTGAGGGAGTGTGGGTGTGTGAGGCAGAGTGTGAGTGTGAGAGAATATGTGAGTGTGTGTGTGAGAGGATGTGAGTGTGAGAGCGAGCGAGCGCTGCAGTCCTTCTCCCACTGAGCATGCGTGTCACACGACAGGCGGCCGTATCTCATGTGCCTGCCTTTCCGTGTTCACAGCCCTAGTTTTCCGGGGCTGGAAATCTCCTCCAAGACGAACCTGCTGCCACCAACACCCCCATCCCTGCCCACCCTGAACTCCTCACACAGCGCCCCCGCCCCATCACCCGGTTCTCCAGGTCCGGCTGGGTTTATTTTCAGCAGGACGCACGACGCTCCCCTCCTCCTCCCCTCCCCCTCCCCGGGCAGGGGCCGCGGATGAAGCGAAGCCTTGTTCCCACCGCAGAGAGTGGCCCAGCGCTCGGCCCCATCTCCTCCGCGGTGGAAACAGTGGCCGGCGGAGGACTGAGGCCGGGAAGGCAGCGCCCGACTCAGAGAAGCTGGGGGAGGGCAGCCAGTGCTGGAAACGCCAGGCCTGCTCCCTCTCTGCTCTGGGCCCACCAATGTCCTGGGGAGAGCGCGACGCTGGAGGCCTCCCTCACTGCCTGGGGCGGGCAGGCGGTCGGGGGACATCAGCCTCTAACGTGGCCTCTTGGCTCACAGCCTTGTATTCCCTACCCGAGGGCTGGCAGCCCTCCCTCCTCACGTCCCTGGTGCTGGGGTACTAAAAAGGCAGCATGGTGCCAGGGGGCACTTTTCTTGGCAGATGCCGGGCCCTGAATTCGGAGAAGTAGGTCTCACGTGAGGAACATGGAAATCCTGGGCTTTGTTATGAAACTGACTGTGGGGCCCGAAGCCTTGTATTCTCTCCTTGCCCATAATTTTCTGTGTTTAAACCCCACGCATGTATGAGCACCTACTTAGGTACATAGGGTACCGTAGCTGGCACCTGCCCTCAAGGAGACTGCAGTGTACTGTGGAACACATATCTGCACACAAGAATAACGACCATCATTTCAAAACGGTAGCTGGCATTTAGGAAGTGGGGACCACACCAGATATATGTGCTTCACACGTTACACGGATGACCCGTTTTCATCCTCACAGTACACCTGAAGTAGGTACTGCTGTTATGAGAGTTTACAGAGGAAAGTAAAGCTCAGAGAAGTTAAGTGACTTGCTCTAGGTCACACAGTAGGTAAGTGGCTAAGCCGAGCATCAAGTCCAAGTCCAAGCCCAAGTCCATCTCCAAAGCCTGTGACTGAACCACTGCTATGAGCTACCCCCATAAGGATGCCAGGCAACCTGAGCAGCCCCAAGAGTGGCACAGACAGTATGTGATATGGGCATTCAGAAGAATGAAGAAAAACGGTGATAAGAGGAAGGGGACAGAGCAGAGTGGGAGGGGGAATTATAATTCTGGAAAAGAACGCCTTGGACTCTGCCCTGAAAATCCATTAGTTCCACTAAAAGCTTGATATTGAAAGGGTGCCTGTGGTGATCTCAAAAGCTGTGCCCAATCTCTCCACTCTGACAGGCCATCCCAGCCACCAGTGTGGGAGCCCCTTGTCTGCTCCCAGGCCCCACCCATTGCAGACGATTCCCAGGGGCTCTGAGTATTCTGATGAT